AGAAGGGACACAATCACCCCTAAGTTAATTTCCTTGTAAAAGTGAAATGTATTAAATGAAAGTATTTCAAAATTTAATGGACATTTTTTTATTAATATAAGCTTTACACATGAAGACACAGATATCAAGAACATTTAAATTAAATATTTTAAAATACTATTATTATTAAGGGTTTAGGTTATGTGTTTTTCATTTATAATTTAGTCTTTTGAAATATATTTTGTAAAGTAGTTTTAGACCAACATTAAATTCTAATTCAAACTTATCTAAAAAAAGACAAACTCTGATTCAGATGTTAAGTAATTACAATATTCAAATGAAAACAGTTATATGCATATAATTAGAAAAAACAACTGGCCTAAATTAAAGAAACATTTTGGTGTTTTAGTAACCAAAATAAACTCACATTGCTATTTCATTAAGTCAAAGCAAGAAAGTATTTCTATTTTTTACACTAAATTTAATTTTATTAATTTAGAACATTGTAAACAAGAAAAAAGCAGAAAATATTTAGCTGAATTTAGTTCCTTATTTTCTGCTCCCATTTGTATTCAACAACAGAACACTCATCAGGAAATACAAAAAAGGGTCAGGTCATTATTTTAGTTAAATAATTCTAGTACCTAATTTTCTTATATAACATCCCAAAACTATAAATGAACAAAAAACATAGACTATGAGAATTTTTTTCTTATATTTCTGTGCAATGCATGGTTCAAATTTTACTGCTAATATTTCATTAATGTAAGATAGTATGAAGCTAGTCAAAGCCCTTTTTAACTAACAGAATCTATGTAAATGAATAATTGAAATCTAAAGAATTATAAATGACTTCACTGCACTACTTAAATAGACTGGTACACTAATAAAAAATAGGGAAAAATTTTTTTTAAATATTTTTTGTATATTAGCATTCTTTAGACCTTACTTAGGCCATAACACTTGTCAGAATAAAAAAAAAATTGATTTTTTATCATTTTAGAAGGTAAGTCCTGTTCATAATATTGATACAATGTCAAATTGATTCCTTTCTACAGAGTTATCTGGATTTAGCTATTCTATGTACGAAAGCAGTTTTTTCTTTTGTTTTTGTGGTCACAAAAAGATTTCTTTTAAATAAAGAACAAATGTATATATACATATTTTTAATTAAAGAACAAAAATTTACATAAATTAATAAAAGTATATATACATTTAAGATAATTATTATTTGCCAATGTTTGTACATCTGCTTCCCCAAAAATTTGTACCATAAAAAAAGTTTAAGAAATTCAGAAAATAAGAAATGCAGGTATCAACAATGTAAGCACAGTTTCAAACTTAACATTTGTAAATAACAGCTATATCCAATAACTCTTATAAAAGTCAGGTATTGATTTGTGACTGTATTTATATTATGAAAAGGACTCCTTCTCAATTGATAAAAATATTCAAAGTTTTTTATTCTGACAAGTGAACCACCCTCATTTCCTTTGCATTCCATTTGTAAGATGTAAGTTCCTCTCAAGTGGCTTCTTCCTGTGAACCACTGCTTTGTTAGAACTTACTCCCAAAAAGAAGTTTCCTTAATCATTACAATCTTAACTTGTTCAAGACTAGGGTCAACTGTTATCTTCTCCACATATGCTCATAAACCCTGTAACTCAAGTGGTTCTTGGGCTTTGTACAGGGTGAACATAATTGTAAAAGAAAAAGAAGGTTGTGATCTAAGGAAGATGTAAAGAATGTTAACCTATAAAAATTATTAAAAAAAAATTTTCCCTATTTTTTACAAGGGGACCTGTCTATTTAACTTCAATTTGAAATGGTCATGCAGCTTGCTTAGAAATCACAATACCTTATGTTTTAGATTAATTAGGAATGAACTGTCTCATGATATTCACAAGAAAATTTAAATCTTGTATTTATTTTCAGATACTATTTGTTGTTAATCATGTTAAACATGATTTTGAAACAAGTGAGTATTTTATTTTTAATAGACTAAATCATTCACAACCAACATTTTAAGAAACATCATATTATTCTTTAGAGATGATTTAATTTTCTCATTATTAAATCATTTGGAAAAAGGCTGTTGAGATTACCCAATAATTTATAATCAAATTAATTTGAAATTTAAATGAGTTTATGATGAATTCTAATTGGAGAGCTAAGAACCTGTATTGTAAGGATTAATTTAACAAATTTATTAATTTTATAACTAATACAATAGTATTTAAGAAAGAAATTTTCACAAAGTGTTGCATATAAACATTAAGATACACATTTTTTATATTAACATTTCAAACACCTGTCTTCACCAGAAGTAACAGGAATTATTTTATAGTAATATTCAGTTTATTAAATTTGAAGGCTATATATATATATGTGTGTGTGTGTGTGTGTGTGTGTGTGTGTGTGTGTGTGAATATAAGATATCGCACAAAAAGTGTTGGTGCTAATAAAATACTGCTCGATGTAATATAAGAGAGATAATAAGTATATATTAATAAATATACATATTATCTCTCATGCATGAAACTCCAAGTCATGATACTGGTGAGGGATAATATGTATATATATATATATATATATATAGCCAAGTATAATCTCTAAAAATTTAGATGCAATGTGAATTACTATCTACTGTCCTCCTGATTACTCTGTTCTTTACTCGCTCATTAGTAATATTTTTGTTCATAATTTTTCCATAACTAGTAACCCCTTGTGTCTTCGTGGCTTTCTGCCTTCGGGTGGAATTGATTAAAAAAAAAAAAAAAAAAAAAATATATAATAAGAACAAAAGATTACGTAATAAAAAGATAATAGATAAATATTAAATCGATTTGGTTTTAAACAAATGCTAAACTTTCTGTATTAGGTTGTGATATCTAAATGGCAGAAAAATAGGTCAAGTAAAAAAAAACATTCTTTTTGATTTTTAGTTTGGAATCTTTAGATTTTCCTTAAAGATGCAACAGATATCCTAAAAGAATCTTCAGACATATGACCTTTAAATATTTTACCGACATGCACACTCTACAAGAATCTTGAAATACTCTAAAAAATAGATAAAAAATATATGAAAGCAAGATTATTCAGGCATTTTCAATCAGAAATGAGTTGGTGTCAGAGAACTAACCAGGAAAATAAGTTTTTATGGTAATAGTAATATTAGACATTTTCTTTACATGATTTACATTGTTCAGACTGTTGTCCTCATTTTTATAGCCATATTCATAACATTCCGGCCTTCTTCAGATGAATGGAATTTTGAACTGAACCCTTGTTTATTTGGTAACCTGACAAAAATTGTTACAAATTGCCTTCCATTCATTCACCAAATATTACATCCTCAAATTACCTTTTATTCTTGACTTTAAAGAGAAAAAAATCAATCCTCTAGAAGACTGCAAAAAAAATCTAGCGCAGTTATTTTCTAATAAAGATAAGCTAGGATGGAACTATGGGGTTGCTGGAATGACAGTAGAAGACAGTGAAAGAATGTGGTAAATATGTTGTTCAATAAAATTAATGTCTTATTTTTATTTAATAAAGCAAGCAAAATTTCTCTGCATGAAATAAGACTTCACCTGTGTAAAGTGTTATCAATAATCCAATTGTAAACCTATTACCAGTTTACAGATTTGTTTTGTTAATCAAAATTTAACTTATGAAAGCTGCCAACTAATACAACCAATTTAGCCAAATGAAACAATAGTGTAAACTTAAACTTGATAAAAATAATATCAATTCAAATAAATTAATAAGTCCTATTTTTTTAATTAAATAATATTAATTTGATTTTAAATAAAAAACATGAATAAATAAAATATATATTCATTGATAATTTACATTCTGATTTTATAAAATGTTCACAAAAACAGATTCACTTTTAGGAAACTAAAAAATCAAGAAATCTAACTCAAATACCCATGAGACTTACATATACTTGAAAACTATAAATTGTATGTAAATGAGCAACTCTACACTCTTTCTCTCTCTGTGTTTGACAGCCATATGCTTGGGAAGGTAATGGGACGTAACCTAAAGGATAATTCCACTTCTGAATAGGTGCCAACCTATCAAAAGTTGAAACTTTCGATGAAATGGAAAGATTCTCTCTAGATAGGTCTGTGAATGTTTACTCATTTTTATTTCTCTGCTCTTTTTCTTCATTATTTAATATAATTTATATATATATATATATATATGTATATTTATATATATATTCTTAACTTTCTTTCTCTCCCCAGTGTTTAAAAATAAATTGGCTGAATACTAGTTTTCCCTCATTTTTTTCTATTTTTAAGAGACAAAGCAATTTAAGCTATCTTAAAATCTAAATAAGTAGCTAAAATTCATTAAGAAATGATAGTTAACTGCCCCTAGCTGAATTGCATGCACATGAATTACATATGCTCTTAGTTTAACTCTACACTTCTAATGTCTCTACCATAACACAAAGATTTTATTTACTAATTTTCTTTTTTCAATAGTAGATAGGTTTGCCTATCATCCTGTTCAAATTCCTCCAAGGTCTTTTGAACAGGAGTAGAGGTTATTCCTTGTTTCTAGTTCCTTCTAAAATCTTCTCTTTCATTCCCAGTAAACTCTTGCATCTTAGTGTCATTTTCACCTTGCTTGTGGTTAAATGATTTAAAAAAAAAAAAAAAAAAATTTGAATATTATAGAAATTAAAACTTTGTGTAAAGATATATTTTACAAACTTCATTGTGTTACTAACAGCTGTCTCATTAATTTTATCTAAAAGAATCTTGTTTTTGCAAAGTGCAACAAGTTTCTTTGTTCTTTTCTGAAATAAATTATGATTACTGAGCAACCCTTACCAGAACCTTGGAGTAAAGTCATATACTATATTGTATAAAAGTGAATTATCTAAGAATTAAATTAATTAGCCATTGTCAGTATATTAATGACCCAATATTCCATGTATGGAGATACAAACAAATAGATAAACAAGGCAAATAAACTAAAGACAATAAACATCGCATGCCAACCTGCATGTGAAAAATCATAAGCTCATTGGCTAACTGGTTGCGTTGTTGGGACACTTCCAATTTCTGGTACATGAGACACTGGAACAAAAAATGAAGAAACAACAAAAATATAGGTAGATAAAAAGGTGAAGAAAGAGAGGAAAGGTGGTGATTGACATGCTGCGGAAGAGAAGAGAGAGTGTGATAAAAGCTAATTCTCTTATCACAAACAACTAGTTACACAACAACATACAGACAAACATATGGATGGATGGATGGATGCTCATCATAGGCAGTGCTTTATAGTTTACCTTCATGTGATACATCATCAGTTCGTTAATCAGATTGTTCCGTGCCTGTGAATCTATCACTTTGTTGTACATGAGAGACTGGAAACAGAAGGTGACAGATTGATGTTAGGAGGACACCTCCAAATACATATCCTCTTTAGATGTTACAATGCATCCAAATTGGGTATTTCAACCTAACCTGAGAACTTCACCAGCCTCAACATTTTAGGCACACCATTATTGCAATTGTCAATAAGTGGAAAGAAAAATAATATCATAGGTTTGGCATTACTCACATGAAAAAGCTATGAAATATGGAGAAAATTATATTAAAGGTTATTATTAAACAATTTTTTCTTTTTCAGTTTTTACAATGTCATTTAGTGATTGATTATTTTAAGAATTTTTTTTACCATTTATCTAAGTATTGTAAACCTTGATTCTAACAATAAAAATTTAAACAAAAAGATTGACTTTTTCATTCATTTAAAAGAATTTATGTATATCCTGTAATAATTTGAAAGTAAATCGGAATATCATATCATTATAAGCAGTAATGAATAATATTTAAAAATTACTTATTTACTAAATTTGAGATGTGAAAATATATTTAGTCATAACTGAATGTCTTTTATTCAAGTTGTTTGATTATGTGGTGCCATTTTAGGAGCTCTAAGAAAACACAGCTCCATATTGTGTTATCTGAAGAAAAGGTTGAAAAATTATAATGTCTGAAATACTATAACACTTGAAAATACAACATATGCAAGATCAGTTTCAAAAACCAAACTTTTAATAATAAAAGAAAACCTCTATATTAGCAGGCAATGTATATTTAATATATATTTTGTAATAATAATGAAAGGTTAATCAAATACAAAACTGGCATGGTAGCCTTTCTAAAGATAATAAATTATTAAAAATTTTTATAGCAGTTAAAATCAAAACTTATGATAAAAAGTCTCCTGAAAAATACTCAAGCTTTGCCTTCAGAAAATTAAAAATTACGTATTCAGCTTCTGAGATGATAATATTCAGCAAACAAAATGCAAAATTCAAATTATTAAATTAAAAGTTTTCTTTCCATACACAATTTTATTGAGAACAATAAATATTTAGTTATAGTTATTCTTAAAAATTAAGTCAAAAATTAAAAGTTAAAGTAAAAAGAGTAAATGTTTTAGACATATCTGAAAGCAAATATATTCGGATATGCAAAGTTGACATAATTTAAGCATTTACATCAGAGACAAATATGTAAAGAAAATTATAAAGAAGAAGTAACACATAATGGCAGTTAAATAGTTTTGGATTAAAAGATCACAAAGAAAACAAGTGTCTTGTCAGGATTTCAGAATCTTTGTCAGCAAAATTTAAAATTTTTCTTTATACAACGATGACATGAGTACAGCTCAGAAAAAAGAAAAATAACATGCTTACTTAAAATGAAACTAAGGATCAGGAATATAGATTCCATAGTGATAATCATATGACACAAACTGAAACCTTGAGAAGACAATTTCCTTTTTAAAAAAATAAGGTAAAATATAATTAACAATTAAAATTTAATCAAATACTTAATAAAATATAATATATAAGAGATAAGAAAAAAACATGTAAAACACTTAATGAATTGTAGGTGACAATATATTTAAAACACTCATTAAATCATAGTAATATTGCATAGTGATAGGAAGTTAATGACAATATATAATATAAATATTAAACATTTTAATGCATTTAATAAGTACATATTGTAATGTATAAAAATGTACATCATAAAAAAAATGACTTAGAAAATAACAGCTGTTTTATTGTTCGAGCATGAAATTTAGTGATAATTTCCAAAACCTGAGATGTCACATTTTCGCTTTATACATTTTACTGTTATATCTTCAACATTGACACAAAATCATTAAGAAAGCTGTCAATGCTTTAACTTTCTAAAGATGTTTAATTTGCAAAGTGCTAAAATTGAAATGTAAAAGTTAAATCACTTAACATTTTATAATCTTGGTGATATTATTTGATAACACATAACTCCAACTGTTGATTCAAAAGCTAAAAACTGCCAAGTTACAAAGAAACCTGATAAATAAAAGAACTGAAACAGAGAGTCTATTGTACTAGAAGAATAGCACTTGAGATAGCAAAAGAAACAAAATATTTAACATGTATTGTGGAAATAATTTCAGAGAGAAAAATTAAAACTGGATGTGACTAAAAAAAGTACAGCATAGTCCTTTAGATAGACTGATGAACACTTCTCACAATGGAGACTTATCCAGAAAAAGCTAAAGACTAATAATCAAAAAGTTGTCATTTTGTGATTGACAAAGTCAATAATAGCAATTGTATTTTATTAATTCAGTTTTCCTTCTCTTAGAGTTGCTGACACCCAAGGCCAGAAAACTCACTCTACCTTGTTATTTAACCCATAGCTTGGTAGGAAAAGAGATGGATTCATGCCTTTCCTAAAGACATCAGTATGAAATGAACACAACAGAATACAATATGAACTTGACTTGCTAATGTCACTTTCCACACTAGTAATAATTATTCTCCCTCTTGTACTACATATAAAATTAATATACAGAGATGAAGATAACTGAACACAATAAAATATACCAAACTTATGCTTATACAGTGAAAGGTTGAAGCAATATATTTTTTATCATCACATTGGACTGATAACTCACTAATGGTAAATATAAGTAAAATCCTTCACATGCTGCTTAAAAATATCTAAGAAAAGTTCTGAAGGAATCTAACTGATTGGACATTAAATCTTCAGATATTTACAATCTGTCTCATGTCATCTTCAAAAATCTGTTTTTCTTTAATTTACAAAATACTTAACAATGTATTTTCTAATACTGTTTTTCTATAGTCATGACTTTCAGTGATACATAAAGCATATAATTATAAAATTTAATACATTTACATGACTGATTACATTTGATGAAACTTAACAGTGAACCATAAATGAAATGAGATGAGATAATGACTGATTACAAAATTATTATTCATGATACACACACAAACTCATAAACATAATTCATTATAAAGTGTAATGCATTCAATGTAAATTAACATGTCAAATTATAAATTTCAAATTTATAAAAAAATTATAACTAAAGTATATAAATCCAAGTTACATAACTCATTTCAGTGCTATGACTTCTAATAACTGTTTATATAAGATAATAATTTATACATTATAGATTTCAAATCCAACTGATTTGAAATTTATAAAAATATTCTACTAATTGTATGTAACAAATGATTTAAATGACAAAATGGCAATCTTTACTTTGAAACATCACTAAGATATTATTGACCTTGGGATTGATTTTTAAAATCTCTTCAAATATATATAAGAAATTTCTTTAGCAGGAATTCAGCCTTTTAATGTCCCATACTATCTTAACAGCACTGTGGAATATATATTAGATAGTATAATAGAAAGAGGAGATGGTTCATCCACAAAGAGATTTGACAGTGCATACTATAAAAATATCAGACATAGACTATGTTTTTTTTTTCTCATGATAGATATAGAGGAAGTGTTTATGAGAAAGCTAGATTCATTCAATGCATCTAGAGAAAAGGTAAGGTGCCAAAATCAGTTTAGAAAATTGATTTTATTCAATAAATGATATTAGCAACTGGAAACCATTGAATGAGAACTAAGAAATAACTAAAAGAAAACTGAGCAATATTTCAATATTCAGGCCAACAGGTCACAATTCTCCCAACACTAGATTCAAGATGTTAATAAACACAGGTAAATAATTCTCAAAAACAACAAAAATGAGATCACATTCCAAACATTATTCAACAAATGTGATGCTATCTCTAAGGTAAATCAAAATCACAAAGTACTCAAAATAGACGACTAAGTATGACTTTAAAGATCAGTGTGAAATATGAAATTTAAATACCTTGATCATTCTTAAACAATGATGTAGCAAGCATGGGAGAGTTAGTTGCTGTCAAATTTCAGTACACTCAGTCCTATGAAGACCAGTAGAGATTATTATTGTGCCAAAGACTCATGTTATTTGTCTCTTTTAAACAGTTATAGCCAACTTTACTAACAACAAGAAAATAAGTGTCACAATCTGTCATTCTCCAAACTTCTGAAATACTGTGACCTGAAAATCATCTAACCAAGACAATACAAGCAAAATATTTCAATTCAGTAGCAAATGGTTTGCAAGGCAAATTTTGTAGAGAAGAAACTCCTGTGTTTCAGACTAAAAGTAGAGAGAAAGAAAGATAAACTGTTTTGTTAGAAGGAAAGAAATGTAGCTTGACTCTTAAAAAAACCCTGCTTCTCACAAAAAGGTGCTATGCATGACACTTGATCAGTAATATGGAAATAAATGCTTAAGTTAATCTGTAGGTCATCCAATAAGTGATCAATAAAAATAAAAATTCTATCTGGTTCAATTTGGAAGTAATTTCTGAATCACAGAGATAAAAATGACCAACTCAAGCCAACTTGAAGCAGTTCACTTACCTACTTACTTCTTTACATAAACAGGCTGACCTCTAACTAGAAGCAGACAATTGAAAATATTAAACTGATCTTGATAATTGTCCCATCTTCAAACAAACATATAATATAGGGCAAGGCTGAGTGCATGAGAAATTTTGTAGTAAAATAAAACTAACTTTTCAATTAGAGTTAAATCAGGCTTGTTTATTTCTTGAAATTTTTTCCATTGGAGAAAGAATATATCACTCAATGGTTGACAACTATAATTCATGTAAACCCCATTGCTGGTGGAGAGATCACTCAGATCTGAAAGTTTGGGAAGAATTCTGAAGAGGTGTAGAGAACCATTGTTAAATTCTTCAAGCACAACATCAGTAAATGCATGTTTATTAACCCTTCACCAAACTATGAGCTAATATTTGACAATTTCTCACATTTTGTCAGATTGGGGTCTCACTTTTTTTATTACAGAAAGATAAATATATAGATAAAACTCTCACTTGATCCACCAGTTAATATAAGTATTGAAACTGATCATAGCAATAACAATTATCCTTGAAACCAACAAAAAGAATGTTCTAAATAAATGCATGGTGTAAAAAATTACAAAGAACTCTATAAAGATGATATCACTTTGATTAAAAGGAATTATTTATTCAGTATCCAGTATAGGAATTTTGATTCAAAAGAAACAATTTTTAACTGGTTATATAAATCTTTATATTCACTTATCTGTAATAATACTGGGTAGTAAAATAAAAAAAAATTATCTGCTACCCAAACAAATGATTCTGCACTAGACAAAATTGAATATGCTGATTCTGAACTCATAATCAGAATTGCCCTAATGTGTCAGGTTTTTGAGATGCACATAGCATATTTATATTTAAAGTAAATGATATATTAATAGAACATATTATATTGATATTAAAAATATTAATAAATCAGTACATTTATGTTCAAGGAAAATTTAGATGATTATAAGGAATAAATGAATAAATATAAAATACTTACTTTCTTTCTATCTTCAAAAATGTTTGAGACACATGTTCTTGCATGTGTGTGCTGAGCTGTAGTAACCCATAATGCCTGGATTAACTGGCCTTGATACCTTGATTGTATCTCAGATATGTTCTGATATATATCTGAGATATATGTCAGATATGAATTTGTTACCATGCTTATCACTTACAGCAGCCAAATCCATTAGAAAGCAATTGTAATATTTGGAGAGACATCCAATATTCCATATTTTTAATACACTGTTAACGTGTTGTTTATTAAATCAACAAAATTTTCAATTCTATGAGACCCAAGAAAGTTCTGTACATATATCACAAATGAGTTCTATGTCAGTGAATGCTAATATAAGTAAGGGAAGGTTGATTTCATAATATGTCAAACTTGTTGGATCATTCAATGTCAAAGTAGTCAATTTTTTCTGTTTCTATTTTTTTTCCATTACCAAATATAAAAATCTTATAGAACAAAAAAATCACAATAAATTAATAGTTTCAATGTCACCCACACTATACTATACAAATCAGCATCAAGAACATTTCCATAAGTATTTTTGTTTTATCTAGTACAAACAACTTTCAAGTAACAAATGTTCAGTTAGACCCATTTTGGAGCACAAACCAACCTTCTCTATGAAGGACAGCAGGTCATTCACATCAATGCCCTCAAAGTTCACTTAGCCAATCATGCTATAAAATCTGTCTAGCAAGAGTGATATCTCCACACCTGACCAGGAAGTGCTATACCATATATAGTACCCATCATGCTACACACTCTAGTCATTCCTGTCTGAGTGAGTAATCCTCTTCTTGAGTTTCCTAAGTTCCTGCTTCTACTCTCAAACATGGCTGCCAACCCCTCTGGAAGAATTTACTAATTCAGGTTCTCAGGCTGGTTTATGGCACCACAATGCCAACACTTAGGACTACATCCAGCATAGCTCAGGATCTAACATAGCACAATCCATCCTGATGTGGCCATAGAGATTACTTTATCTAAGAGTCCAACAATTCCTCACTCTGCCTCTCAGTGACAGGATAATGAAAACTGAGTCCAGGAAGAAAATAAATCTTCTAAAACACTTTCCAAAAATATGATGAGTCCATTATACAGGTCTTTTGTCATTAATGGATGTGTTTTTTGAAAGACACCCCTAGCAATTGCTTCACAAAAATCTGCACATCCTGTTCCATTATGGTTCTTGGAGCAACATGAAAAAATGTAGAAGTGTTTGGGACAATGGAGCTGCTCTTAAGGACTGTTCAACAGAATAGCACCAAGTGAAATTCTTGATTTTTCAAAGATAGATCCTATTTGAAGGTTGAAAGAATCCAATCCATTTTGTTTTTTGTTGAACAGATGCTTGCATTTGGGATCAAAAGTGAAACCATGAAGAGAGCATGACAGGCTAGATTTGAGCTCTCCATACTTTCAACTATCACTCTCTCATCTCCATGAGCCCTGTGCACAGACATTCCACTAGAGATGCTCTAAAAGCCCATTTTATGATACTTATAGTAAATTGCACCGAGCACACTGAAGCAAGACCCTCTAGCCAGCCCATGAATAAAGCAACTGCAATCCAGCCGTGAATGAATCAGCTATTTACACATTCTCAGCAAAGCCTTCCAATCAGCTTCTTACTTTGTATGGGTCACCAGATGCATAAGTGAATAGCCCTGCCACATTTGAACTTTACGGATTTCAAGAAGGGAACAAAAGTCAATCTATCTCCTATCATAAATAATAAAGAAACTTATATGGATCAACTACAAATACTTCTGCTCCTTCAAGCTCAAGAACAGGACCACTGTACACCTCTCCCAGCTGGCAAAAATGAATACATTTTGCTCTTGAAAATCTAAAACCACCTCCCACTCATCCATTCTACTATGTTGATGGGCCTTAATCTGGTGCGCATTAAAATATTGACATTCAGAGCAGGCAACCCCCAGACCCAAGCACTCAATGATACTGTTAATCTTGATGCCAAATAGTGCAATGAACAGAACGTTTCTCTGTGGAACACCTTCCTTCCGCTTCTGAAGGTTGGAGAAGGCAAACCACACACAAACCCCAAATCCCTTCTCTAACAGGAAACTGTTTTACAAAGCTTGGCAGTCTGCCCAAGATCATGCAAGTCTCACAAAACACTGCATTTCCAGGATATTAATATACTATTTATATTATTTTCCTTGAACAAAAATATGTTATGCACATATCTCAAAAACTTGATGTGCTAGAATAATTCTGAGTACAGATTTAAAATCAGCATATCCAATTTAGTCTAAGAGAAACATCTTTTTTGCCCAGGGTAATCATTTTTATAGTGTAAGCATTTACCTGGCTTGTAGCTCTTAATTATAAGAATAATTTAACCAAACATTCTATGAACTTTTAAGTTAATGCTCCACAAAGAAATAACAATGAAATGAATATTTCAAATTAATTAAGTGGATCAAATGGAGAGATAAACAGAAAATGTGCATTTTTGCATAATACTGCATGAAATTCAAAATTTCTATTATATTCTTTACCTCAACAACCAAGGCAAATGAACTTTATCCATTAATTGATCACACTCAGAAGAATTAGCATATAAACAGGCAGCAGTTATAGTTATCTTGAAATTCACACATTTCTTATTGTTTTATATTGATGAGTAAAATAATTCATTGTTATAAGAAAATTTTGGTAGAGGCTTGAATTTAACTTTGCTATAAATGTTACAGTAGGGCACTTCAATATGGTATAATGGCTAGCAAGCTTGACTTGCTAGATCAACTGAGGCTAAGAAGTGAGTTCGATCCTAACTGGGTGCTCCATACTTTCAGTTTTATGCCACATCTAAACTACACTTAGTAAATTACTATAAATGTTAGCATAAATAATCCTTTCTTTTTAGTGAGAGATTCATGATTCATGCTTAGACTTTGAGAAATTCTGTGTAAGCATTTATATATCAATGATGAAGTGTTTGTAAATGATTAAATATTGTATTTTTAATCTTCAACAAAAATAGAAGGAATGTTAAAAATGCATACTAAACAATAAGCACATTAAAAAGTTAACACATAATATAAAATATGATAGTTTCATAATTAAAATCAATTGATGCTGGAATAAGCTTGCCAGGAAAGGACATGACTTTTGCTGCTAAGATGATATACCTCTTGGCAATGTTCCAAAGGTTTTTTTTAATAGGGTTTAGATCCATGGAAAATGGTGGGCATATCAGAAGCCTATCATTTTTAAATACTAATTTACTGAAGTTATCATTAGCCGTACTGCTAGCATGAACTAAAGCATTATCATATATGAAAATGAATTTTCATTTGAAAACCACCATCCTCTTAAGTTATATCTAAGGTGGATTTTTAATAATTCAATGTAGACAGAAGAAGGTTTTAGAAATATGTTGTACTTCATATAAAATAAATATATATTACAAGAAGAGTGAAGATAACTGGACACAATAAAAACATACCAGACTTATAAGCTGAATGAATATATTTCTTTTTTATTATCATATTTGATTGATGACTAACTGATGGAAAATATAAATAGAACCCTCTACATGCTGCTTAGAAATTCTAAGAAAAGTTCTGAATGAATTTAAATGATTGGACATTAGACCTCCAAACATTTGCAACCTGTCTGAATGACCTAGACTTCATACAAGAACATATATGATACAGTACATTAACTAAAACTACTCTTATGCAACACAGATATTGCATTATAAGTAACTGAATAATTATTTGATCTGAAAATCATTGATTCTGAGAAAACACACACACACATGCATGCATGCACACACACACTATAAACATTATTAAAGTTTCAGAAAGTTATTCTGATGTATATTTAAAAGAGCAACTTCAGTTTTATAGCGTTATAAAGCATTGTTCAATTTGGAAGAAAAATATTAAAGTTAAAAAAATATTCAAGTTAAAACTAAATAATTAGGATAGATATTAGATGAAGATCTGAGTCTAATTGGAGAGAATAAAAACTCACATGGCTAATGCTTATACAGCAGTAAACAGCAAAAGCTGAGGCAATTGCTTCATCAAATGATGTGAAACATGGTCCTGTTTTTTTGTTACACAACTGTGCCACTCCAATAACACAACCTGCAATGGAAGAAAAATGAACACAAAACTTATAAAATGGTTCTACAAAATAAAAAAATCAGGTGAGAAAAAAAAACTGATTGATTTTTTAGGCAATCATTCATCTTTTGATACATGACTAACGAGGTAAATTTTTTCCTGCAGTAGACCAGTTGCCATTCAAGGCTATAGAACCCGGTCTGTCCTGCTATTTACCCATAGCTGGGGGGAGAAGAAGAGGATTCATACCTTTTTCAAAGGGTATTAACAGAGAATTTAATGGATTTCAATGGAATTTGAACTCAGCTCTTCGATTCCTCAATTCAAGCTGCTATCCATTACTCCACCACGACAGTCAGTTATGTGCCATGTGTGATACACGCTTAGGTAATCATGTATCTTTTGATACATGACTGACTGAGAAGGCACAGTAGAGTAATGGATATCAACTCAGATTGAGGAATCGGAGAGCCGAGTTTGAATTCCAGTCAAATCTATTACATTCACTTACATGCTAATACCCTTTGGGAAAAGTATGAATCCTCTTCTTCTCCCCCTGGCTATGGATAAATAGCAGGACAGATCAGGTTCAATAGCTTTGGATGGCAACTGGTCTACTGCAAAAAGAAATGGAAACCTACTGCGGGGAAAAAAGTCTGCCTTATGAGTCATGAATCAAAAAATACACGATCGCCTAAGCATATATCACACATGGCACATAACTGACTGAACAGGCTATACAAAAGTTTTTTTTTTTTTTTAAAGATAATTGAAGTATTTTAAACTTCAGCATGTTTTCAAAATCTGATGATTAAGTGATTTACTTGGTTTCAAAAAGTAAGTCAACCCCTACATTTCAAATATAGAACACCAAATAAAGAGCAGAATAAAGAGCAAACATTGGTAAAATTGTCTCCTGAGCCATTCAAAATGGGTCCTGTCCTCTCAGAATGATATATATTTGTAACCCATCAAATAACTAAATATAGATATGTTAAATACCTAAAATAGAATTTTTAAATTTAGAAATAACACTTACTTTTAATATCGCTAAGTTTACAACATTTCAATCTAAAATTATTTGACTAACTTCAGAAAATTAACTTACACATCAAATCTCAAAGAAACATATAAATCAGAATACTGTGAATTCCAAATACAAAATAAACCAGTTTTCAATAAGTTCTGTATTGTTTTAATTACATGTCACTGTGGTAATAAAATAAGCACATACCATCTCTCTTCTTACTTGTACTCATCTACTATAATAAAATAAATGTTTTCAGCACTAAAGCTGAATTAGTCAAGTAAAGCTTCATAAGATTTACTTGATTCTTACTTAGAGTTTTTGTTATATCACTGAGGCTTCTACAAAATGACTTTAAAAAAAATATTTTAATTCTCTTCCAACTTATTTCTGCTGTTCAATTGGAATTTTTTCACAAAAAACTGTCTATTGTTTACCTTTCAAATGTGAGTATTTGGAAACAAATAACACAATGAGGAGGAAAATTTACTCAATTTACAATCAATTTACCCCACTTTCCTTCAACAATCTTTGTTTGATACAAATAATATAACAACAACTCTAACTAGAAGCTTTATTTGACTAATTCAGCTTTAGCACTGAAAACACTTATTTTGTTATAGTGGATAGTTACAAGCCACAGGGAAGGTGAGATGTACTTATTTTATTACCACAATACATAAGAATTATTAAATAAAGGAGTTTTAATTAAAATTGAAAGAAGAAAAAATGAATACAAAGCCTATTTTGAAATCAGTGCACCATTTAGTTACAATCCAAAAGTGACAGAAAACAATGATTATAATATTTTTATGGAAAGTGTAGCAAAATAAAAAATATATATTTCTTTTTGTTCATAATATTTTATAATGTATTTATCTTTCATATTATCTATTTTTATCTTTATAATGACTTTATTTTTATTTTACATTTACCAATTATGTTTTTCTATTTTTTTCTTGCTGCCAACCAACTTAATAGATAGACAGACACATAGTGAGTTCTAAACTGATGAAAGCATGTCTATAGATGAATACACTAAGGGAAATTTTATAAAGAATTTGTTTAAAAAAAAACGAAACCAAGATGCAACTGTCAGGAAATTTTGTATTAGTTTCTGTATCAGACAATTCTTTTTACTACCATATATATTTCATAATTCTATACAATTCTGTTTATGAATCCCTTGAGTGTTTTTCTTGGTTACATATTTCACAAACTAGAATCAACTTCATATTTAAATATCTAAAATGGTTATTACACAAAACAGGAGTTACAAAAGCAGAATAATTGGTTTTTAAGTATGAATCTTTTCCATTGTAATATCCAATATATGGTACAGATACAGTCAAAGCGCTATAGCTAAAAGGAATGAAAAAATAATGTAGATACAAAGAACTGCTCATAGTAAATACATTAAAAAAAATTAAGATTGCATAACATATTATGAGGATTGAAATATCCATATCAAAAGATTTAATATTTGTTTTAGTCATGACTTTTTAAAATATCAGAGATGGCAGGAACAAGCAAGGATTGTTAACTGATTCTATTTTAAAGACAAAAATGGCAGAGACTTGAAAGTAGAAACTATTTCATACATACATGCAATATTACATAAGAAGTCAGTTCAACTGGTATTTTTGCCATAAGAAAAGTATGTCATTTTATACTAATAGCAAGAAGTGTTTACCTTTTTCATCTTTAATTGGGAAACACAGGATATTCCTAAAAATAACAGAAATATACATTTTATCAAAGAGCAAATTATTGCAAAATGACATTTATATAATGAACTAATTTTAAAATTAATCCATTAATGCCAACTATAAAATTTAGCAATAATTATAAAAATAAAAATTTGGTATTAATTATCAATTTCTAAAAATATCCAGTATTAATTGGTTTTTAAAAAATCTGGTATTTATTATAAGTTTCTACCTAAAATTCATTAATAACCATTGTCCCAAAAAATGAAACATTGAGTATTAATAGGCAAAGATAATTTCTTGCATTTTACATAAAAAATATTAATTTAGATATTTAAAAAGTTATTTGAAAATCTACAATTTGCAATCAATAAAATAGAAATTGGAAATAAATAACAAATATATATTGTTCATATAGTTTTATCAGTTAATAGTTATTGCTTATTATTGCAATAGGTAAATAAAAAAAAAATAAACACATTAATAATTTTAAAAAAAGATCATCTTTGCTTACCGAGTTCTGAAGCCTGTATTTTCGTCAATAACACGGTAAAATAATGGATGCGAATAAGCATCTCGTATATTCAGCAGTTCACCTATTAAATAAAAAAGGTTTTCAAAGACAATTTTTAAAAAGTTACATAAATTTTAAATACAATATTTTAAAAAGATGTATTTAATTTCTTTAAACCAGATGCATACTTCGATTCTCTAATCAAAATATCTTCATAAAGATTTTTATTTTAAAAAGTAGTAAACTTACTTGACATATGCATCATAGGTTTTGATATACAAGAAGAATATCTTTTTAAGAGAGAATTGTCAAAAATATGATCTCAGAATGTACATTTGTATTAATAAATCTTTATTCATTTCTTCATGCATACAAATGGGAAATGATTTTTGTTTCCTTGCAATTTTAATACATTAAAAATAATCTTCAGTTCTGAGTTTTTTTTAATAAAAAAATACATTCCTTTTTTAAGATATACAACAGATGAACAGATGCTAAAAAAGTCAGCTAACTCATCACCTGACTGAGTATGATAAAATTTCTATGGTTCCAGCTGAACTGATGCCAGTTTCACTTTCTTAATTTGCTAACTACATGTTAGCATGGTTAAAACATAAAGTGTATAATGAATATATAATGCCAGGTGTGATATATGGGTGCAAAATGTGGAAATAAACAAAACTACTTGAAAACAAACTCAGAGATATGCAATGATCAATGAAAAGAGTAATGCTTGATTTAATTTTAAGATAGAGAAAGAGGTCCAACATGAGTACACATAAAGCTAAGAGATACAGAAGTGATCAAGCAAGAAAAACAATGATGAGTAGATCACAGATGAAGCAAAAGGTTGGTTGAATGGTACTTAGTGGAGAGCAAATTTAGTAGGAAAAGACCAAACAAAAGATGGAGAGATGGCATGGATGGGTTTGTGGATATGACATGGTAGAGAAATTGAATAGCTATACAAAAAGAGAAGAGAGCATGAGACAAGGATGCATCTTCTCTCCAGATTTATTCAACCTCTATGTTAATGCTATCCTAATGGAACTGGAGACCCTACCAAGATTTATTTTCAGTGGGTGCAATTTTAACAAGATACACATATGACACTGTGTTGATGGCTGATTTGGAAAGGAAACTACAGTACTTCCTTGATAGTGTGATAGAAGAAAGTGAGAAAAAAATGACTAATCATCAGCTGCAAGAAGAGAAAGTATGGTCACCAGAAAAAGGCAAGGACCATCGCCCAAGATGTGAGTTATGAATTAGAGATGTAAACATCAAGCAGGTACAGAAGTTCAAACATCTGGTAAATGTTTAAATAGAGACTGGAAAATGCAACATCAAGATCTGAACATGCATTGGACTAGCAAAAGAAACATTCCAAGGTGCTGAGAAATGGAAAAAATTTGTTAGAAACAAAAAAAAAAAGAGTGCTGGAATGTTAAGTGATGTCCATCCTCTTATATGGCAGTGAATGTTGGACAATTTCTCTACAGATCAGGAAAAAAACTAGAGACAGTAGAAATGTGGTTCTACAGAAGGATATTGAAAATTTCATAAATGGAGTAAGTAAGCAACGAGGAAGTCTTAAAGAAAATGGCAACAGAAAGAACACTTAAACTTAAAATCAGGAAGAGATAACTGAAATTCCTTGGACACATAATGGGAAAGGAGGGCTTGAAAAACTTAAACCTCATGGGGATGTTGAATGTAAGAGAGATAGGGGAAAGGCTGGCAAGGTTGTGTGAATGGATAGCAGAATGTGGGGGAAAAGGGCCTTAGGAAAAGGAGAAAAAACTTCTAGAGTCACACGAGATAGAAAGTTAGGGAGAGACATGATCACCTATATCCTGAAGGGACACGGTACATAGAAGAAGATACCATTGTTATGGTCATCAAAGAAAGCGTTGGGAAAAGCCTTTTTCTATCAATGGACTTACAATAAGTGATGATATATATAAAAAAAAGTGATCATTTGCTTTGTGCATAAATTTATGCTATTGTTAAAAAAATGAAATAGATATTTTATTTAGTTTAATTCACTACTATTAATCACATCAAATTTCAAGGTAGAAACATTCTTTGTCTGATAAAAATAGCATCAACTAAAAAATTTATATTTAAAGTCATTCAAAGTCATAAGATCTTTCTAATTTCAGATTTACTAATGGGAATTAAGTTCAAGTAGTTTTTAAATTTGTTAGCTATGCAAAACTCACAGGAGATAAATGATTTCTGTTTTAAATTTTTAGAGTACAAACCAGAAGATTAAGTCAAAAGTAAAATATATCAATTTCTTGCATAAAATTCTAGAGTATGTAAACTAGATTTTCAAGTTGACTAAAAACAAGATTATTTAATATACTTTTCACAATTGCAATTTTAAACCATATTTACTTATCAGTAATCTATTTTAAGTTATATGTTAAGTATCCTATATTCATCATATCTTATTACATATTTTAAACAAATTTAAAAAGACCAAGATATATAGACATTCTTCTTAGAGTTTCTAGTCATGTAAATATTCTAAAAATATTATCCTTACTCAATTTCAAAGTGGGTTAGATTCCAAGTGATATATCAACCACTAACATGTATCTGTACACACATTTTGATATGCTTTATATAACTGGAAAAACACCTGATGAGCTAACCCTCAACAAATTCTGATACTGAATTTTATTAAAAATATGACTCTTTTTAAAGCAATCCATTTTTTAATTTACATTTTCAAATATTGAAGAATATGCACCAAATTTCATTTTTCTTCTTTTCATCTTGTACATAAAATGGTAAATCTGACTAAATTTCTTATTTTGGCTAAAATATGAACCTCCTCCTTTCACATGTAGATGACAAACTTTTTCTACAAAAGTTTCCAGCATTTTTTTTAAAAGTTTTAACTATGTATTCAGTTTCTAGATTGACAAAGGAGATGCTGTGAAATTTTGCACATGCCTAATAAAATTTTATCTCATTGTTTTTATGAATATAGTCTAAGTACAAATGGAAAATTATGATTGAATTATATGAAATATAAACAAACACCTTGATAAAATAATATAATACATACATATGCAGAAACCTCTAAGAACAGATATATAAATATATATATATAATTTTATATATGTAATTTTAATCAAATAGTTATACAAAAATAAGCATTATCTGCAGGGTTATCAAATTTCAATATATTTTTATGAAAAAATATTAAAACATATTTTTATACCATTAAAGACTCATAATTATTATGATGTTACTAACTTCTACGTAATGGTATTTTATTTATCTATAAATATATAAAAATATTTACAAATCTTACCCAAATAATTTTGTAAAGGGCACATTTACTATTATTATTTAACTGACAATATATCAAAAGAATGTATAGTGATACTATTATTTTTAACTGAGAACATTTAAATTAGGCATAATTTCTTTTATGATTTTTCTCAGAATTCAAATACTAAAGGTCAGGATAATTAGATTCAAGGCTATTATGCATTTAAGCTTCAGAGTACATTGAAAAGTAATCCCAAATTATTTTGGTGATTTTTTATATTTTAACTAATTGTATAAGTTTCAAGTAAGTAAACTTGTAAATTATACAATTAAAATATATATATATATATATATATATATATATATATATAAGTGAACATTGAAGTCAACACTTAGAGGCGACAGGCTGTTTCATGCTAGATGCAATTGACAGGAAACAATTGGCCTGACGATTGCATCTAGCATGAAACAGCCTGTTGCCTCTAAGTGTTGACTTCAATATTCACTTTTATATTTACACACACACTATCTCTGATATTGAGCA